CTCTCTTGCCGAACCAATCGGACTGCTTCTCACGAAATCTAAGCTGGATAAATTTCATTGCCCAGTCCATTATGACTAATGCACAGTCTTGACTGGTGCTTATCATCTTCAGCTGATCTTACTTTGCTGCTTCCTGGTTTATGGAGCGAACAATGTGAGCCTTCCACTCCAAAATGTCGGTTATTGCCAGCTTGAAGTCATAGAGGAGATCATCTCGTTGCTCGCTGCTGTAAGGCCTCCAAGACGGTCCTCGAACTTTGTCTTCGACTTCATCAAGGACATTCCGCAGATTTTGACACTCCTTACAGTTTTCTGTGGGTTGGTGGGAACAATTTTCGTAGAAGTCGAGATCTTGTTCATCGCTAAGAGCAAGCTTACGGCAATGATCAGGACATACAGCCTCCTCTGGATTACAATGAACGCGAAAATCAATCTTCAAGTAGCGTTTTGCTTTCTTCAGCCTTTCTTTGACTTGAGCGCCCCATTGCCTTTTCATTACCCCTTTCTCTAAGTCGTCGCCAATCATTTCAATTTTATGGAAGCCAACTAAAAAAATCGGCAGCAGTGTTGTCGAGGCCTTGCAATGACTTTCTCTGTGAGGTTTCTCTGACTTCAAGAGTCTTGAATAAAGTGGAGCGACCTAGAGGTTCAAACGTCTCCTCCTGACAGAATTGCATATACTGGCTAATCCTTGTAGAGCGCGTCACTGAACGCACGACGTTCGGCATCTCAATGGTGTCACCACTGTCTAACTACAGCGACCTAGTTCCGTAGGACACGTCCTGGTAAAAATATGGACGATTAATGAACTCGATAAAATGGTCCACTTTACTCATATCAATGCGCACACGATGATCTTTTTTCTTCTCAGGTACTCTTCCAGGACCTATTGTTTTTGCCTGACACCGCGCTCTTTGTATCTGACGAGTTGACAACTTATCGTATGGTGAGTGAAGTTTCTTTAACGTGCTAATCGAATATTTATAAGCATAAAGGCTTAGAATTTGCGTTTTGGTGCTTTTGGCTTCAGAATTCTTGTAAGCGGTCATGAAAGCTTTCAGCACGTCATCGGCTACAGCTTTATCATTCTTTTCTTTACCTGGAGATACCAAGGCATGAAAAGCCGCTTACCGTCGTTTGGGGCTATCACATCGCACACCAGCATGCAGTATTCAGCCGCTTTGTGGATGCAGTATTGTCGTTATGCTGCAGTGCTTTCGTCCCATGAGTCCAGTTGTGAAGTTAGTGGTAGTCGCGAGCAAGTAATAGTGCTGGCAACTTTGTCCCTCGCTCCATTGTAAGTGCTGAGAATCTCTGTGTCGGTGCTCTGAAGAGAGGTTGCTTGAGCACTCTCTGGACCCCAGCCGGGACTAGAGCAAGGTTTTGGAGTGAGAAAATGACGGAATGGAGTGGTCTCCATTTCGGCTGAATGTGCTTGTATAGAT